AGCGTGGGAAAAATCAGGCTGCACCAGTTGCATATAAATTCTGTCACAATGATTTCCCTTCTCATTGTGTGCTCTGTCCTTTTAGTTTGTAAGTCACTGCAATGGGCTCATCTCTGTTGACGTGAGTAGTTTGGGACAGCATTGCACTAAAAGCCCAATGCAATAAACACCACCACAGCTAATACTAATAATATCTATTTCATTTTGCAAGCTGCCTGGGAAACATGACATTATCCACCAGTTTATCAAAGTGAGACGATATTTTAAAAACTAAAGCACCAAATAGGTGTCCGCCACATAGAAAACCGTTCAACCCACTGGGTGTTTGGAATGTTTACCTTCTCTGCCATGCTCTGCTTCAACCCGCCTGTTGGACTTTGCAAAGGAGAATGGTTCTTCATCTCGGCATTTGACTTTGGTGAAGGAAGGTCGACAGAGGACTGTTCTTGTAACGGCCCGCTTGGACTGGTTTTACTGAATGACTGTGATCTCTTAACGGCTGATGACACAGCAAGAGCAAAAGGGGAGGGCCTAGAAAGAGAATATGGCTGTGGCACAAAAAAAGTCCTAATAGTTCTAAGGTTTAATGAAGGAGGCGGGGTGGGGGGAGAATTCAGAGGCTGAGACAGTTTTACAGGCGAAGTGGGGACATCTGTTTTTTTCTCATTGTGACCATTTTCAGCCTTTTCCTCAACCGACTGGGAAGGAATGCTGACTGTTCTAGGAAACGGAAAAGATGTCTGATCTGGTGATGCTGGTTTCTTGTCTGCCACTAAACTTTTAGCTTCATTTTGAGTAGGGCTGCTAACAGAACTACTTCTTGCAATTGCAGATGTTACATAATGACTAGATGCCCTCTTTTGCATCTGCAAATAGAAAGTGCTTGGCTTTGCTGGAGGACTTAATATACTTGATTTTTCATGCTCTGCGGGTGGCGAAAAACTTTTATTTTCCGTGCTTAGTACCAACGGAGCAATTATGTGATCTGGATTAGGTTTGGAATGTTCTGCTCCCAATTTCTTGCCTTGGGCATTAGAGAGAGCAACTGCAGCATTATTACCAACACTGCATGTTTTATGAAGGAAACCGTTCCCCGGCAACACAACTTCTTGTCTAAGCTCAGGCCCTGTTAGATTTGAGGTATTATAGACTTCTGTTTGTGTGCCTAACTCCTGGGACTTCTCATTCTTGGGAGACATGGGCAAAGAGACTGCTTCCTGATCCTCAACAGTGTTTGATTCCCAATTCTTCAGTACTTCTAGAGATTTTTGGGGCACTATTTTATAGGTAGTCATTCCAATTTTGGGTATATAGTCTCTTGTAATCTCATTGGAAGGTTTTGGCTTAGGGGTTGAGCGTTGTTGATAAAGTGGGTAACCCTTTGTAGGAGAAGTAACAGGACTTTGGACAACTCTCTGTGGTGGAATGTTATCCTCATTTGCATGTACATCATTTCGATCGCCACTGGGACTTGCTCTGTCATGTGTAGCATGTTATCCTCATTTGCATGTACATCATTTTGATCGCCACTGGGGCTTGCTCTGTCATGTGTAGCTTGTTGTTTCAGAGAGCTGAACTCTGTCAAAGTTCCTACAGTCTTGTGTACCCTGTATAGGAGCTCTGAGGGTTGATTCTCTGGAGCCGATCTGTGCGTATGGGTTACTCCTTTGTGAGTGCTTTGCTTGCCACCCTGAAAACTAGGACTCTCACTCAGTTGAGTCTGAACAAAAAAGTTAGCAGATGGGGTTGTCTGAATTGCAGCATCTTGAGTCTTTACTGGCTCCAAGTTAGACTGTTCCAGACCCCCTGAAAGTGCTTGTGGATTGCGGTCCTGACTGATGTCACTTTGATAAGTTTGGCAGTTTGAGAAACTTTCTGCTCCAAGATCGTTACTGTCTTCCATGTCAGTCTTGCTTTCTTCTGTCATCACTGGAAGGCATTTTGAACCCTCTTGACCTTTTTTTAAAAAATGGAATTTTGAAATTAACATTAGGGTGTAAGCCTTATTTGTTTTTTTAATTGTTTGAATAATGTATTATGCATTTTCATTTAAACACTTCACGGCATGGAGCAGGATGCGCTTTACTAATGGTGCATTGGTTTGGGGCAACTACAAAGATCCATAAGTACTAATTAGAAGAATTGATATTCCGAGAATCATTGGTGGTAAACTCCCTTAGGTGAGCCAAACTCAATACTATGCTTACATTAAGTTACAAGAATCATTGTAGAGATTATCTATAACTAAAAGAAGGGAATAAAACCCACTTTTGGCCTGTGTGGTGATCTAATTTGCTGTAAAGGAAGAGAAACTCACCACTGTTTTGGTTGCGCTGCAGTGCTTCCAATGCTTTGCCATTCCCAAGTGCAGCTTCCCCCTGGTCTCTATGGCTGTGCTGAGCTCTAGAAAACAAAAATGCAAAGATGTCGGAGAGACTGGTATCCGTAAATAAACAGAAAAGAGAAATACTGTGATTCTTCAGAAGCAAAAGCAACACAACCCCATCCCAAAAACAATAATTAGAGGCTGTTAAATAAATCTTGTGTGTTTTTATGTGTAAGCAGCTATCAAGTCCCAGCCAACTTATGTGCACCCCTAAAGGGGCTTTCAAGGCAAGTGAGAAGCAGAGGTGGTTTGCCATTGCTTTCCTCTGCAGAGTCTTCCTTGATGGTCTCCCTTCCAAGTACCAATCCTGCTTAGCTTCTGAGATCTGACAAGATCGGACTATACCATGCTGCCTTCCCTCCCAAATAAATCTAAGAAACTCAAAAAAAGAAGCGCTGCTATGAAAAACTCTGTATATGATAAATATATGGCCTTCTCCTACAGAGCAAAAATATATTGATTTTCCGAATTTTCTAATACTCAAGGTATTTAGCATACAGAGATTATGCAACAGTAAATACGGCTGCCTTGCAGGCACGTAGTTTTGTGGCATCTCACATTGGCTATAATCCCAAGGATACTTTCCTGGAAGTGAGCCTCATTGACAACATGGGGCTTACTTCTAGGTGGACTTGGCTCCCATTATTCCCCTTCCAGCAACTATGGCAGCACAAAATTATCAGAACCTCTTTATCACAGTCAAGTAGGGCAATCTGATGACTATAAGATCGCTTCACTATTATCGTCCCACAATCCTGAGATCATAGACTCTGTAGCTAAATTTCTCTGTTGTGCTACTAAGAGGAGAAGATTGTTTCAGTTGTAAGGGTAAAGGGCGTATCATTGTCTCCCTGCTGTATGTTCTGTCGATATGCCAATAAAGGTTCTGATTGATTGATTGAATAAATTTCTGAATTCCTTCTCTCCCCTTTTCAATCTCGTATTAAAATCTCACACACTTACTTGTTATATGCAGTTGTGTCTTGTTTTTCTCCTTCCCTGGAGATTTGCCCATCACCTTCAGTGGAAATGCCAGGATCTGAAGCCACCAATGAAGCAGACTCATTTTTTCCAGGACTGAATGCTACATTAGGAGCAATACTGGAGGTCAAAAACTCTCGAGTCCTGAGAAAGGTGTCAGTGCTCTCTTCACGCAGCTCTTCCTTTTCATCAATCTCCTCCAGGCTAAATTCAGAGTCTATGTCAGCTGCGCTCCCAAGAAAACACAGAAATATGAGATTAACGGAAAATAACAATACAAAAAGTATGTTTTAAGAAAGCAAAGGGCAGTGCTGAGTCCCTCAAGCAAGATGCTCTCTGGTGGGCATCGCTTCCGTCTCTCTGTCCTTACCACAAAAGAAGACAGCAGGCAGCTGCTACTGCTGTCTTCCATGTTGACTTGGCCACCAAGCAGCAGCGAGAAGAAGAAGAGATTGGATTTATACCCCACCCTTCACTTGGAGTCTCAGAGCAGTTTACAATCTCCTTTGCCTTCCTCTCCCCATAACAGACACCCTGTGAGACTGGGAGAGCTCTGAGATAACTGCTTTTGAGAGAACAGCTCTGAGAGAACTGTGGCTGACCCATGGGCACTCCAGCAGCTGCATGTGGAGGAGTCGGGAATCAAACCCAGTTCTCCCAGATTAGCATCCACGCTCTTACTGGCAGGCAGCAGGCAGGCAAGGATATGATGGTTTCTGCTTGTTGCCACCACTGCCATTTACTTGCTGCTTCATACAGATGGGTTTGTACAGATGGCTGCCAAAACAAGTCATCTGTTTTCTCCCTCTGTAGAGTGCCAAGGAGATAAGGGAAGCCCCATCTAAAGAGGACAGGAGGATGGCTACTGCTGCTTCTCTTCAGTGGCAACATCAGCTGTCAACAATGGGCCCTTCCCAGTTGTTGGGGCCTTGGCAGGTTCTCAAGGATGCCAGCCCCAACTAATTCCCTAAGGCTGTGATCAGACATGCAGTTTAGTCCATTGCTGTTGCTGTTCCCTTACGGTTTTAAAATCCAAGATCAGACAGCAACATCTGTCTGTTGTGCCCCAGTCGTCTGTGTCCCATTTTCCCCCCCCCCTTACTGCATGTTTATTTGATATCTGTGAAAGTGATATCCTTTTGGGCTGAGCTGGTTTCAAACCGGATTTCCTGTTGTCTGATTGCTCTGTTGCACACTCTGGTCTCTCTTTTTTTCATCTGCCTTTTTTTTTTTTATTAGTTAGCGAAGTTCACTCAACTGCATATTCACACCTCTCTGTCTCTCCTCCTCTCCCACAGGGGCTGCTCTAAACTTTGTCTTCGTCATAAAAACTTAAATAAAAATGCCACTGTACTTCAGCTTTTTCCTGTGCTTTGGGGAAGGATAAATTTAAGTTTAGAGAGGGAGACTACATGTCCCAGCAAGCTGATCAGCGCTTATGCGCAAGCCCAGAGAACAAACTTTTTTTAAAAATGGCTGACAGCCCCATGAACTACATATTTCAGGAGGCATAGCAGCACTTGTGGGCATGCTCGAGGGAGAAACTATTTTAAAAAATGGCTGACAGCAGCACTCCTTGACCGCCGGGTCTAATATGCATCTGATCGCTCAAGAACAGGGTAAAAGCGCTTTGAAGAGTGCTTAAAGGGGTGAGTCTGATCAGTATTCTCTGTTCTAAAATACTCTGGAACAATTAGAGGCAGGGCAAGAGTGGATTAAAATGCACATCTGACCACACACTAAAATGATGCATACTGTTTAGAATTCTGATAAAGTTACGGATGTCACAGAGATCAGTAGACAGAGTGCAAAACAGAATGGTATGTTTTGTTCTTGTGAGGTAAAGTACTGGTTTCTGAGGGAAGCTTATGTAAATTGGAGGAGGGGAGGAAGACAGCTTGGCATAACACCTTTGCCATAGCATCTTTTCATTTAATTAATCATAAGAGAATTAACACATCAACAGTTCTCGCTGCGTTTTGACTTTCTGTAACGGTTCACATTTATAATATAGTTAGTGAAGCTCATGGGGTAATGTGTGTGTGTGGGGGGGAGTATCTAGAAGCAGCACAATCAAAATCCCGGGGAAAGGTCAGATCTCCCCACCCCAGCTTTCTCTGGGTTTTCTTCCTTTCCCCTTAATAAACCAAATGCATTTGGCATCAAATAACAAGTATTCTTGCGCAAGAGCTCTTGCATTATCAGACACACAAGAAAGTCATCCCAAGAGGCCCTTGACCTAAACCCACGTGATAGTATTCCATCTTGCATTTCCACATGTGCAAAACATAGTGCAAAGGTATGTTCCAGCAGCCTTCCTTCCCAATAATGACCTATTTGAATCAAATCATATTACAGTTCTAAATCGGAGTGTAACGACATCAGATAGCCTCATGAACATAGCAATTCGAACAGAATATTAAAGACAACTTCCCTTCCACTACCATGTGGAAGAATCCAACGCGCTACATTAAAAATCAGGATTACAAATAAAGTAATCCTCAAAACCGTAATCTGGATGGACCCATTCTCACACACCAGTTGAAAGTCCTTGTTTCCCAAATAAATTTACATAACAACTAGCACCCATAATGATGACAGTGCACATAATCTCAGTAAATTAATCCCACAATACAACATAGGACAACCACCTACATTTAAGAGACACTTCAGATTCATCTGGGATATCAGCATTACCCCAAAGTTTAGTTGTATCTGAGCTTTGCTGCCCATTGTTTTGATCAGGACTGGCTGGCTCAAGGTAGCACATGGCGCAGGGTGGCGCTGAAGTTCCGGTTAGGTCAACTATTTTGTCTAAGAAGCGGGTTAGGAAACAATACAATGAATTTATTAGCAGTGAATCTGAAAAATGTAAAAGGAAATACGAGAAAGGAAAAACAGAAAAGCAACAACGCTTGTGTTAGTTGATTGTGTTAAATATATGCATTACATTATGTCAACACAACTTGCAGCGTTTACTCGATTTATCAGCGTTTACTCGATTTATCAGTTAATTTATTTTAAAACTTTCAATTTAAAAAGATTTAATTCTGGGAGTTTAAGAAAAAGTATTAAAATTAATTAACAAATACCATATCAACTCTAAATGAAGATGATTCTGAATGTAAGACGACCCCATTAAAATGTTATGCATGCAATGTAAGACAACCCCATTAAAAATGTTATGCATGCAAAAAAAAATCATTATTGGACATAATTGTAACTTGATGCAAGATCTTTTTCTTTTTTTTGATGGCACAGCTGTGAAAAAGCCCAGTCTTTCATCATTTGAGTAAATACTGTATTTAAAGAAACAGACACATGCATACATACACACAACAGTGCTAGGCAACATCTCAGAAGAGGTATTCTTCCTATCCCTCTCTCAAAGGAAGGAATGCCTCGTCTAAAATGTGACTCCTATGCACCATGCAGGGATCCTCTAAAAACAAAGGAGATAACTACAGTTTTACGTATAAGCAAGTGCATGCAGATATCAATTAGTTGGCTAAAAGTGATCCAATTAACAATTAATAAAAACGGGCAACATGTGAGGGACAAACTCAGTATGATGGGATGACTTACACCATCATCTCTAAAGTTGTTAGAGAGGTCTGCTTTGTAATAAAGATGGAGTATGCAGGTGAGGGCAGGTAAACCTTGGATCCTCCTCCACCTTGCCTTGCAGTGCTCTGGTGCTTTCAGCCCTCTTCTCCCAGCTCACTGACTTCTGGAAGCAGAGTCAGACTGGAGAAAAATTCTTAAAGCGATAGAATACAGCCAAGCAAGGTTTGGAGGGGGCAATGTGTGGTTTTGTTTTAAAAATCCACACAATCCCTCTTAGCTATGAATGGGTGAACATCTGCATAATACACCTGGCTTCCCCCTCCTCCCAACTGTTTCTGATTCGCACCTTACATTTGTATGCATTTGGGAAGCGCAACAGTTTTTTACCCGATGGGGTGGCTAGAATCCAGCCCCTCACTTTTATCTTGGGATCTTTAAAGTGGGTGTGGTGATCAGGAACGAGAAAACAGTGCTGTTTCCTTCCCCAAATTTCAGAGCGAAGGATCAACATTAAAAAAAACAAACCAAAATTGGCTTGGCTGCAGGGGCTGAACTAGGACTGTAGGGGGAGCTACAATCAAAGCTCTTCCAAGTTACTGGTCAGATGTTTGCAAATGAGGGATCCCCTGAACAGAACAGCTTTTTTGTTTCCTATCCCCTTATAATCCATTCCTGTGACAACTGAAACTTAAGAGCAAATGCCCCCCCCCCAGGACTGCAATCAGAATGTAAGCGCCACAGTTCAATAACTCCTTCTCTCCTGCAGGTGCGGGACACAGTACATCATCTAAATGTGAGATGGCCAGGACAAAACAGCAACAAAAATGAGAGTTGTTTTAGTATTTTTTTAAGAATCTTCCTTGATTGTTGGCCGTGTGGGAAAGAAGTGAGCAAATGGAAGAAGAAAGGGAGATGGGTTAGTACAAAGAGGAACGAAGGAAGCACAAGGAGTGGTGTGAAAGGAAGATGAAAAGGAAGAGGAGACAGGGAAGATACAGAGGCAGAGAATGAACACAGAGACAGAAGTTTGTTTTTTTTAATGTAAGGAGGAAGAGAAGTAAGTGCTACCATAGTAGGTATTATGCCCTATCTAGCATATAAGAGATATTTTATATCTTTACTGCATTTGCTCTTATCAAGAGATTGTTAACTAGGTCACTACCATACTGCATTTACAGACTGGGAACTGAACAGAGAAGCTACACAAAGACACTAAGCTGAAGGCATCACTTGAACCTTCTAGATTCAAAGAAACCTCTCTGTGTACTTAAATTGCACAGGAAGAGTTGAGTCCCAAATCTCCTTTTGAAATTTCAAATGCAAGCAAGATACGGGGAAGGGCAGGTGGAACTGCCAACATGTCAAGCAGCAGAGGAATGGATGAGGCTTAAGGGGCTATGCGATCCTACCCTCCCAACATCCAGATGGTGGTTAATGTTTGCAGCCCCTGTTTCTACAGCATTACTATGACACTATTTTAGCATGTCTGTCAATCTTTGACGGCTTTTAAAACTTACTGGTGTATTTCAATCAATGGTTTTAATTTTGTTAATTGGAGTATTAGTTTGTATTCCTGCCACCTGGTTACCGTGCCATGTGGTTGAGGAGATAAGACGGGATATTTTAAAATAAATACATAAATAAAGGCAGTCTGTTGCCCAAAGGCCTATAAAAACCTGGATCTGACTCAGCACAGAAATGTTTTCCTTGTGAGAAGCTTCTTATTTTTCCTCCTCTGGCAATATTTTTAAAAGAACAGTTCCTAGAGATGGAGGGGGGAAATTATTCCGACCCCACTACCTGCCTTTTCTTGGTACCTGTTCACTCCCCACCTATTAAAAGTGTGAACATTTTTTGTTGAGTTGAGTTGAGTTGGCTATGGCCAGGTATGGTAAAGGTAAAACTGAGAACAGATTCACAAAGAGCACGGTGTGTGTCATACAAGGAATACAGGAATGTGTTTTATAAGAGACAATGTGATGGGGTCAAGATAAGGATGCCCGTAATTCGGGCTTGTGAGACAGGAATGGTGCAGGCAGTGCTGAGTTACAGAGACTCTTCTTTACTAAATACCACACAGAAAGTACCTGTTGGAGATGGTACTTCTGAATGTCTTCCTCTCACAGGTCCCTCTGTCTGAACTGATTCTGCTGACTCAGATCCTGAAATATTAATGCAAGTTTGGAAGTGGTTTCCTTTGATCCCCACATTACTCCAGAATTCAAACAACATTCATATACATTTCTTCCACACTTAAGAGCAAGCAGAAAACCAAATACATCTTTGTTAGAAGAACTGATACAAAATTGTCAGGTTTTTTATTCCCTCCCCCTTCGGTGTCATCCATTTCAAACATCTGCCTTTTCTCTGAACATATTGTTTAATGAGTATGTCCAAAGTATGTTTTTTATTAGAAGTTATTAGGGCAATACTTACTCAAAGCTAAAGAATAAACTCTACAGTTATATACATTCCCAAATAGATCCTCCATCTACAAAAGAAAACAGGAGTCTTGTGGCGCCTTAAAAATTAATACAGTTTTATTCTAGCATAAACTTTCATGGACTAGAGTCCACTTCTTCAGATGCAACAAGTGAAGCCTACCTATGTGGACACTTTACATAGGGCTATAAAATAACAGAATAAAGGTGCCATGAAATGCATGAAGTATTATACCTTGTGCTGCTTCTTGCATTTCTTAACCTCTTTTGGCCCTTTCATTCAGCCCTACAAAAATGGCTAAATGGTAAGAATCCACTCATTACATCCGTTGCGATTTTATTAAGGTGCCACAGCGCTCCCATTTTTTTTAAATGCAGAAGACTAAACATGGCTACTCTCTGGAATTACCATCTGTAAAGCACTACCTGTTGCGATACTGTTGTCACTTCGGCCTTTTCTGGGAGGTGGGGATGGTGCTTTGCGCTTTGCCCGTCTCAAGGAAGAATTGACAGAGGATGTGCCGCTTAGCTGAAGAGAACCTGTTCTCACTCTTCCTATTGTTGAAAGCCCCTGAGGAACAACAAAGTAGACACAGACATAACAGAAATATTAAAACATCACAGGAAGATATTTTAATATTACAAAACAGTTGCTGTTCCACTGCTTCAGAGGGTAGCCATGTTGGTCTGTAGTAGAAGTCCAGCAGCACCTTAGAGACCAGCAAGATTTTGGGGGTATGAGTCAAGGCTCCCCTTGGAAGCTCATACCAATTCCACTCCTGTGAGACCTACGAAGCAGAGTTCTAGATGTGACAGAAAGTTTCAATTTCTGTTTTGTGTGTTTGGGGGGGGGAGACTCCCTTTTCTTCAGAAAAACAAAAAACCTCTCAAATATAAATATAACAGTCAAATATAAGATCTATGAAATATACCTCAAAACAGAAGATCTGGTGCCATTACATAATGCAGAAATCAATTTTAGCAGTGGCTGCAATACAATAACAGAGGTGGCAAAGTTCTAAGTTCAACATATTTAGAGTCCAGTGGCACCTTTAAAACCAACAAAAGTTTATTCAAGGTATGAGCTTTCGTGTGCACGCACTCTTTATCAAATAAGTTAGAATGGCAAAAAAAGGTTCAAACTTATAGCCAGAGAATGAACAGCAAATTAACATTATCTTTATCAAATACATTAAAATGGCAAAAAAGGTTCAAACTTATAGCCAGAGAATGAACAGCAAATTAACATGCAACATGATATGGTGATCAAGATATGCAAAGTGACACTAAATAACAAGTTAAGGTTATGAGGTCAACAGTTGTAAAGCAATAAACAAAATAAAGTTCTAAGTTCTCACTTTGGTTACACAGAGTTTGATCCTGTTAATCATATCTGTGTGTGCAAGGAGTGCGGCTGACTCCTGCCCATTCTCCCCTCCCATACCAGGAGTTCCTGAAGGTCCCCTGTACCCCAGCAGCAACACTTCATGGGTTGTTTGGGGGAGGGGGAGAGAAGTCACATTCCACTGAAGGAGATCCTTCTGGCTGTAGAGGTTTGCAGCAAAATTCAAGTCACTATCATAACTTACAATTTTCTAAGCTGAAAGAGCTAGACAGAAAAACTCTTCCAAGTGTCCAGTCTATACAATTAAAATCTGCGTGTATCTAAAATCCAGTTATCAGAGGTCTAGATTTCACCAATGAGGTGATGTATATCAAGACTGAATGCTCTTCTGTTTTAAAAAAAAACAACCAACACCACCTGCATGTAGAAAACTGGCATTTTAAGAAAACTAGGCTAGAACCCTTCTCCTTGATGGCCAGTTTCCTTTGTGCAGGGGTTCTGTAAACCATCACCTTGGACTTAGAAGTGGTACAGTCCAGACACAAAATGGTCTCATCTGCTATTTATGATAAGCCTCTGGTCTGCCCTGAAACAAACATTATGGCAGAATTATAGGCAGCTCTGAAGGTAGAACGCAACAGCCAAATGACAGCAGTGCTCAATTGTCATGGAACAGTTTTATTTTTTACTTCCTTCTTCTGCTTTAGTCAACTAGGGATATGGGAAACTGAACAGAGTGTATTATATTTGCTGTGAGAAACCAAACTACAATACACTAAAACAGTGGAAGCAGTGTTTCTTTTTAGCTGGCTCCTCTTGGCACTGGCTGATATTACCTCTCTGGCATGGACAAATGCTTCGCTTTATCAGAACTGAGCAAACAGTGCATTACTATAAAGGCAATGCAGCAAGAGTCTTTTCTGTTTTTCCCCAGCTGAACTGCTAGCAACAGATTATTTATTATGAGAGCACTTCACAGAAACTATACTGTCAAAACTTTTGGAAGCAACTTCTCTGAACAATAATAATGCTAGAATTCTTTACACTCAAAGAAAAAAGGTACAGCAGCAGATGACTCAACCCCAGACAGTTTGCTGCCAACACTAAAAGAATTTTGAGACTGAATACATTTCCAGTATAACCATATGGTCCAGTTTATTCAGAAACTTCTAGAGTGCACACAAATGAACATTTTAAAAAAAAGAGTTCCTACATTCTTTCCTCCTACAGACAGCCCGGATTGTCCCTACCTTTTCATACCTCAGACATTGTAGTGATTCTTCTGTTGCATCTGTCAACAGGTCTGTATTTCCCCCTTCAAGCAGATACCTTGTCAATTTGTTTAAAGAACCACTCACACACAGTGTTCCCTCTAAGCCGAGTTAGTGTGAGCTAGCGCACCGTTTTTAAGCCTCCGGCTCACACATTTTTGTCTTAGCTCAGGAAGGATGGCTCCAGAGCAAACTAACTTATGCAGTAGCCAAATCGCTGGCTCACAACTTTAATGCCGGCAGCTCACAAAGTAGAATTTTTGCTCACAAGACTCCATAGCTTAGAGGGAACATTGCTCACACATTCATCCAGGTTTCCATGGGTACTGGGGGCTACCCTCCCCTATGGGACATTTCATTTCTCCTCTAACCTAGGCTTGCCAACTTCCAGGTGGTGGCCAGAGATCTCCTAGGATTACAAATGATCTCCAGGACAGAGATCAGTTCACCTGGAGAAAATGGCCACTTTGGAACGTGGACTCTGGCATTATATCCAGTTGAAGTCCCTCCCCTCCCCAAACCCCGCCCCCTCAGGCTCCACCCCCAAAATCTCCAGGTATTTCCCAGTCCAGAGCTGGTAACCCTACCTCTAATCACACTCCTTTCATTTGCCACCCATTTAACCATTTTCCTTTTCGGTTACAGTTTGCTTACTCTGCCAAAGAGAAATTTGTACAGAAATTTGCTTCCTTGTTTATCTTTTATTACTTCATATAAAACCAGAGAGAAGAAAATATGATCTTCCATTATTTTATTAGGAGCACTATTCAATAAAATTGGGCACCTGGCCTTTGACCAGAACTGTCTGCAGCATACATCAACACACAATGCCAGTTGTGGGAAGAGCAAGGCACAAAGAATGCCTGAGATCTTTTTTTAGAACAATGGTCCTTTGGCACCATCACCATAGCTTGGGCTACAAATATTAAACACCCAACAAGCCATACTTTTCTGCCACCCTGTCTTGACATAACGCTCGCAAGATCTTTTCTGGTTGTGTCTGTCACAGACATTTTTTAAAAAAATCTTGATGCTGACGATTTGCTGTTTACAAATAGAGGGGCAGCGTGTTTGATCAGAGTAGACAAATTACTCCTTATCACCTTAGCGGGAGCTCAGCAGATGCTTCCTTTCTCAAATAAACCACCACCATAAAGTAAGAAAGCTGACATTCTCCACTTTACTGCAGTATGAAGTTTGCAAATTTTGAAAAAAGAAAAAAACAATTATTTCACAGCATGGGTGGCCTCATCATCTTTCCCACCTCAGATTTAAACAAGCAAAAACTCATTAATCCTATTTGAAAAATAAAATTAGCGTTTAAAATGGTGAATAACTGCTCTGGGTATACAGGGAGGAGGGAGTTTGTGATATATATTTTACTAGCTAATATGTACTGTGCATCATCAGCATAACTAGCTTTCTCAGAGCTAGATTTTGGAAAAGATTAAATGTGTTTGCAAAGGATGGGCCAAGTGCACTTGCGGAATACAGCTACTCACCCCTTTTAAGTGTAGAATAATAGAATCATAGAGTTGGAAGGGACCTCCAGGGTCATCTATTCCAACCCCCTGCATCATGCAGGAAATTCACAAATACATCCCCTAACACACCCCCAGTGACTCCTGTTCCATGTCCAGAAGATGACAAAAAGCCTCCAGGATCCCCAACCAAACTGGCCTGGAGAGAAAAAATTGCTTCCTGGCCCCAAAGTCGTGATCAGCATTTCCCTGGGCATGTTAGAACAGGCCACAAGAACTAAGCATTGATGCAACCCTTCCTGCCCTCCCTCTCATGAACTAAGTTCACAGAATCTGCACTGCTGACAGATGGCCATCTACCCTCTGTTTAAAAATCTCCAAAGGAGAACCCACCACCTCCCGAGGTTCTACTGAGGAAACGCTCTGCCAGAAAATTCTTCCTAATGTGTAGCCAAAAACTCTTTCGATTTAATTTCAACCTGTTGGTTCTGGTCTGACCTTCTGGGGAACCAGAAAACAACTCCGCACTATCCTCTGTATGACAGCCCTTCAAGTACTTGTAGATGGTTAATGTATCACCTCTCAGTCAGCTCCTCTTCAGGCTACACATACCCAGCTCCATCAAACTTTCCTCCCAGGACTTGGTCTCCAGATCCCTCACATCTTTATTGCCCTCCTCTGGACATGTTCCAGCTTGTCTACATCCTTCTAAAATTGTGGTGCACCGAACTGAACACAATACTCTAGGTGAGGTCTAACCTCAGAGCAGAGTAAAGCAGTACCATCACTTCACATGATCTGGACATGATCGTTCTGTTGGTACAGCCCAAAATCGCATTTGCCTTTTTAGCTACCACATCACAATGCTGACTCATGTTCAGTGTATGGTCTACTAAGACCCCTCGATCCTTTTTGAGCATACGACTGCCGACAAGTCTCCCCCATCCTATAATTATGCATTTGATTTTTCCTACCTAAATGCAGAACTTTACATTCATCTTTGGTGAAATCCATTTTATTTGTTTTAGCCCAGTCTTCCAGTCAATCAAGATCATCCTGTATCCTGACTCTATCTTCTACCATGTTTGCTACCCTTCCCAAATAAGTATCATCTGCAAATTTAATAAGCATTCTCTCTATTCCTTCATCCAAATAATGTGTTGAACAAAACAGGTCCCAGGACAGATCCTTGAAGCACTCACTTGTCACTTTTCTCCAAGAGGATGAGGGACCATTCAGAAGCACTCTTTGGGTATGATCTGTCAACCAGTTACTGATCCACCTCATAGGATCCAAACCACATATTACCAATTTGTCAAGAACAATATTTATTTATTTATTTATTTTTCGTATTTATACCCCGCCCTCCCCAGTGGGCTCAGGGCGGCTTACAGAGGCAAGACAACTTGCCATAATAAAACAATAATATACATAACGATTTAAAACATGTACTACATCTTAAAATCTTAATTAAACAAAGTGCTCAGTGCCATTCATAATCTAAGGATGACGGATCGTATGTCCAAAGTTCCAAGAAGACGGCAGAGGCTTCTTCCATACTGGGTGTTTCATCGGGACCTCAGGGCGGTGGTAGTATAGAAAGGGCGGCGGCTTCTACTCGAAAGCCTGGCGGAAGAGCTCCGTCTTGCAGGCCCTGCGGAACTGCACAAGATCCCACAGGGCCCTGATCTCCCCTGGGAGCTCATTCCACCAGGTAGGAGGCGCCACCGAAAAAGCCCTGGTCCTCATAGCGGCTAGTTTGACATCCTTGGGGCCCGGGATGACTAATAAATTTTGGGCCCCTGACCGTAGTGCTCTTGGGGGAACATACGGGGAAAGGCAGTCCTTCAGGTAGGTTGGACCCTGGCCATGTAGGGCTTTTATAGGTAACGACCAGCACTTTGAAGCGAATCCGGTACGCTATTGGCAACCAGTGCAGCGCTTTCAGCGCAGGCCGAACATGGTCCCTTCTAGAGAAACCCATTAACAGCCTGGCCACAGCATTCTGCACCAGTTGCAGCTTCCGGATTTGCGACAGAGGCAGCCCCATGTAGAGAGCGTTGCAGTAGTCTAGCCTTGAGGTGACCGGCGCGTGGATCAATGTGGCCAGGTCATCACGATCAAGGTAGGGGACCAACTGCCGTGCCCGCCTAAGATGGACTTGACAGTGGCTGCCACCTGGGCCTCCATCGTTAGTGTGGAGTCCAGGAGCACCCCCAGACTCCGAACACCAGACGCTGGCACCAAAGGTACCCAATCGAAGGTCGGGAGAGGGAGCCCCAACCCCGACCCGACCCAGGCCCAGGTATAGATGTCAAGCTGATGGGTTGGTAGTTACCTAGATCCTCCTTTTTCCCCTTCTTGAAAATGGGACAACATTTGCCTGCCTCTAATCTTCTGGCACCTCACCTGTTCTCCAAGAATGCTAAAAAATAATGGATAAAGGTTCAGAAATTACATTCGCGAGTTCTTTTAGTACCCTTGGGATGCAGTTCATCTGGCCCCAAGGATTTAAGTTTCATTTAAAGAAACTAGGTATTTGTGTACTACCCCTATGCTGATCCTAGGCTGCAGCTCCCATCCCTCATCATATATATCCCTAGATAGTATTATTGGCAACAGACTTGAAAAACAGGAAAGAAAACAAGATGTTTTTACAGCAACAGCACAATAAAAACCTAAGCAGAGAAATCCATCAGTACGGTAAAAGTCTATATGGAATCTTTCAAAAAGCAAAACATCTTTTCAGATGACTTTAGTCTCTCATAGCACCAAGATCACAGACCAACCCAGTTAAGCACACTTAAAAGTTCAGTGTGATTGTCTACACTCAGAACTGTCAGATTGGAGGCCAAAACTGTAAACCTACATACAATTACTCAAATTGGGGGCTGGAAGGGGTCCTTTTAAAATAAATTTTAACTTGTCTGCCTTCACACGTAAATGACCAATATTATCTTTCTCAAAGTGAGAATCTTTTCCTCAACACACAAAACCCAGAACCTCTGTTAAACAGCACACTCTGGTGGTTGTGAGTTTATGAAAAATAAACTAATCCTTGGTATGACTGAGAAGAATGTCCAACTGACTGGCCTTAAATACAATTCATCTCTGGGGCAAGCATTCCCCCCCAGCTCTTCACTTCATCCTTCTAGTATGCCCATAGTCCAATGTATTAGAAAAGATGCCTTTAATTCCAGATTCAAAGTGTTGTCTGAAATACAAATATGCAGTTCTCCAATTTACACTGAAACATTTGGCTTTGAACTTTAATTGGAATTCACAACTGACAATCTGTGCTTTACCAAGATATTACCCACTGCATTAATTTCTCCCCAAAACTCTGTTGGAATAAGTTCAGCACATATTGGGATTCATAGATAGATTTGACCTGGCAGCCTGCTTCGTAACTTCATTAAAATGCATTATTACACAAGCAGACAATTTTATTAAGATAAAAACATGAGTTTTAACATCCATGGACTTACAGTAAGTAAAATTTAATTCTCAAGACTCTAACTTGTTCTTAGCACCACAAAGATTAGAACTCTTTTGGAGACCTTTTCTCAGTGACATATTTAACTGCCTTTTAAAAATATATATAAAAGGGCTAAGGCAGGCAATTTAGAAGCAATGCAAAATGTCAAAAAGTCCTCTGACTGCTGGACATATTAATGCAAACCGTAATGTTTCCATAGTTAATACAAGCATAAAGACTGTCAGCATGGTGAGTTCTAATTCCCCTTTGATTCTACTAACATGTTTTTAAAAGTAGCACTTGTTATGAAAAAAGTGGGCGCCTTCCAAAGCAGCTGGTACTTAATATGCTTTGAATTATCCTAACAGCATATAATATTCCATTATTTAATATTATACTATCTTACTTTTCTTTACAGAATTGTTTAAATTTACAAACTGAAGGTGGAAAGAATTTCTTTGACATCAATGAACAACTCTGCTCTAAGCAAATGTGTCTGTATTAGGAGGTCTCACTTATTCCAGTTGAACCTCTACTTGGGGAAGCATGACTAAAAATCACCAACTTAAACCCAGTTTACCCAATACCTCTGCAATAGCAAACACTTTCCCATGGTCCTATATAAGCTGCAGTGGCAAGAACTGGTCAGCTGGTTCATCTATATCCTGAGCCAGGACAGCACATTCCTCAGAACTGCTGAAAATGCCCACATGATTTAAGCAATCATGTGATCAGAGCTTAAACAGGTTTTCAGTGTGTCATGCGATCTGACCACTGGGAATTGGTTCTATTTATTAATTAAAACACGTGATTACATCTTGTGAACTGCCTTGGGCTGCCTTATGTGATAACAAGCAACGTACAAACATACAACAGTGAAAACCACAAAAGCCATATGCTTACACTCATGCCTAGCAATTAAAATCACAAGACAATACAATTTCCTTTAGAAATAACAATCATCCCATCCCCAAATGACACATATAGGTGGCACAGCTAAGCAAAAAAAACCCCATCTAACTAACATCATCATACAAGCTCTTCTAAATGCAGCTAAGGAGATAACAGACCTCATTGACAGCCCATTTCACAGTAGGGGAGCAACTGAGAATCCCCTTGGGTGGGTCACCACAGCATGAACATCCCTGTTACAGACCACAGGAGTGAAGTTCACACACAGGCTTAGGGAGAAGTGGTTATTTAGGTATTTGGGTCCCAGACTATAAAAAGCATTAAAGGTCAAAACAGGACCTTCAACTGAACCTCCAAACTGACATCCACACAGGCCCATAGCCAGAATTTTTAAATTCAGGGGGCACCCCACACAGACCACCCCCCAGGGACCACCACAAATAAAATTTAAAAATGGGAAGTTGGGGGGCCTTGAGAGTAAAGTTTTTTGGGGGAGGGAAGATGCCCCACTGTAGGTACGGGCCTACACCCACAGCAGTCATTCCAGAACCAGCACAATATTTTGGAGCTGTTTTCATTCAAAGGTATGCTGCTGCATTGCTTTAAAGAAAGCCCCATGTTTTGAGACTTGGGCAGTTGTAAACTAGGTCAAAAACCGTGAACCGCTGCAATCAGTCCAGAATGTCCAAGTGCTGAACTTTCCTGTTGAACTGTTCATAATTCTCCAAATATTACTACATATCCTTGGAGCAAAGAGCTATGGGGAAGATGGAAACTTTATGGCAACCAACCTTATCGGTTTCATCCACACTGCTAGATTTCACGACACAAGTTGCAGGTCTGTGCTGGGCATGTGCAAGATCCTGGGGAGCACTTTGAGAAGCCGGCATCGGGGGCAAGGGTGCTCGTCGCTTTTTTGGCGTTTCCGACGGGAGGGTATTTGACTCATATTGTTTGGAAACCGTGTTGGACCTTATGAAAAAGGTTTGTTTTGGTTTACTCATCAATGGAGTTGCAGGAGCACTGGCAGTCTTACATGGAGGAAAATAACAACAAAGAAAGAATCTGAATAGTTTTTAAAGCCAACCTTCTTTTAAAACAGATTTTTTTAAACCTTTATCATAAGCTTCAATCACCTTCACCACTAGCAGCACAGAAACCACTTCCCTGGGGCAAAATATTAGGTCACTAAAGTGAGTGCCTGAACAGAGAGACAACATGGGTAAGTCTAAACATGCGGGGGACTTTCCACTCAAATTGCCATCTGCCCACAAGACTAAAAGTATTGCATTCCAATGCTTACCAGACACTGTGTGGTAACAAGACAAAGAGTTCAATGTTACTTGTGGCACTTGTTAAGAGATACAGCCTGTCTTCCCAAGGGGAAAAAACCTGTCTAACCTCTAGGACTAAGTACAAAAACATTATGGACAGTGAGGTTACAGCAGGCAGCACTTAGTCATCTCAAATATGAAGCTAACGAATCAAAGGAAGAAGTCCTTTGAATCACATGAGCCAACAGTATCCTTAATCTTTTTAAGGCTGGTTAACTCATGAAAAGGGCCGCGGTGGCTTAGAGGTTAAGAAGCTGAGCTGCAGACTGGAAGGTCTGTAGCTCAGCAGTTCAAGACCCTAGTGCTGCTTGACAGAGTAAGCTCCCATCTCTGGCCCCAGCTCCAGCCAACCTAGCAGTTCAAAAGCAAGAAACTGAAAGTAGATAAATAGGTACCACTTTGGTGGGAAGGTAACAGCATTCCGTGCGCCTTGGCCCATGTCATGCTGGCCACATGTCCACGGAAATGTCTTCGGACAGCGCCGGCTCTTCGGCTTGGAAACAGATGAGTACCGCCCCCTAGAGTTGGATTTGACTAGCTTTTGAGCGAGGGAAACCTTTACCTTTTTAACTCGTGAAAGCAAAATGGCCCCAAGAAATAGGATTGGTTCTATTTCACTATTGGTTCTAATTACAGTCTACTGGTAAAAAGAAGAAGAAGAGGAGAAGAGATTGGATTTATACCCCTCCCTTCACTACCAAGGGAGTCTCAGAGTGGCTTATAAACTCCTTTCCCTTCCCCTCCCCACAACAGACACCCTATGAGGCAGGTGGGGCTGAGAGAGCTCTGACTCCTTTTCCAAGAACAGCTCTGACAACTATGACTTGCCCAAGGTCATCCAGCAGGTGCAGATGGAGGAATGTGGAATCAAACCCGATTCTCCCAGATTAGAGTCCGTGCACTTAACCAGTACACCAAACCACTACACCAAAAGGGCACACAGTTGTCAATGTGGCAGAAACTGGAAGTACCCATAGGGCAGAGAAGTTGGAATGCTATCCCTAAGGTTGGGGGGTTGGGGCTGATATGAATTTATACTAACTAGATTTCAATAGACCAGGAAAAGTGTTGCAAACTTTTGTTGCTATGAAGGAAGTTTCATTTCTGCAGTTACAAATGCTGTATTTCTTACTTGTTCTCGTTTCTTCTTAGTTCGTTGAAAAAAACTGAAGAACCCTTTATTTTCTTTCTCCTTCAAAATATCCAAATTCTGAGAGTTTTGACAAGCATCTAAAAATAAAATGAAGAAACTCTTTGGTGCTATACCATCCAGACTACATTAATTCTTTCCTTCCCAAATTTCTGGTTTTACTATTGAATATTTCTTTTGGGGTAAAAAAGATTGTGTTTTTTTCCAGAAGCGACACAAATAATCTTACTAATCATATTATGTTCTACCCTTTAAATGTCTTACAACAACTGTATCAAATTTCATTCTACAATTTAAAAAAACCTGCAGGTATGTTTGGATACTACAGATTACATCCTACATAAAATTTCAGCCAGCATGAGGAGAGGGAGGATTTTCACTGACTCCCTCCCCCACAGCAGACAAAGGTTATCTCCCAAACTACTCCATTCCCAGGAGCCACATTTAGCACCCACTGCAGGAGGAGAGAGGCAGGGAAGCTGCAGTTCCACAGATGAAAACTCATTTGGCCATGGAATTCTAAGCCTATATCTTCTTTTAATTTATTTAAAAATAAACTTCCATGTAAGAAAAACACATAAGACAGAACCCACAATAAATATCTCATCCAAGCCAGTAAGAATTTTAAAAAACCCTCCCTCAAAAAGCAATTTAAAACTTTAAAAATGGGTTGAAATTATTGTATTGTTCAGGCTGGAATTGCACTCGGTTTTTAAAAATTAAAGAAAGATGGCAAAGAGGAAATCTATAAATAATATAGGGTTGGATGAGCAAGGGCTTCCATGAACAGAGCAAGTTTTCAGAAGCAATGTTTACTGACTTCACCTTACCCCAGCAGCTTGTGGGCCCCACCAGTGCCCCTACTGACAGATCCCTTCAAGGACAACATCCCAGGCCGTACAGGGAGCTGCAGCTAGAAGGGAAACCCATCCAAAATCACCCCCTCATTCTAGCACATTGTGCTCTATCAACCAAACTCACACTCCTTGTGTTGTGAGTGGGGATGTATGCGCATGTGCAGGGGTGGGGGGTCTGGGTGAGTTAATTTTGGTAGATTCATTCCATTCTCATGGCATATTATCTGAAGGGAACCCTGACCCTCAGGCACTGGCTTTTTGGAATGGCACAAAATGCTGCTGGAAGGAGAGGAAACAGAACCCACCATGTTTGCAGAAGTTTATATGAAATGTTCTATAAGTGTCTTAGCTAAGACAGCTTTCTGTTCCCAAATATTATAGTAGTTATGTTTCCGATTCTTTCCACAGTTCTGGCTGTTCATCACATACTTTACATACCACCTTATCTAGCCAAGAAATCACTTTTGACATTTTGCAGGCATACTGAAGTATACATAATACATCCTGATTATACTATCTTTACCCTCACTACAGAAATGGTCTAAGCAATATTTCAATACCATTCACTTGCTCAAGACTAGTTGAGTTACTTTTATGGTGCTTTCTCCCCATCTCTGCTATTGCTGTTCAATTCTATAATTACTCGGGAGCTGCCCTAAATTAGGACCATTTGTGTGTTACACAGAAATCTGCTAGATTCAAGTCCAGTAGTACCTTAGTGACCAACATTTTGACTTTCAAAAACTTATACTCCAAGAATCTTGTTGGTCTTTAAGCTGCTACTGGACTCAAATGTAGCTGTTCTACTGCCAACCAACATGGCTACTTCTCCATTATTCATTTCCCCCAAAAAATAGTAATTAAAAGATATTAAAATATCCATTTTCTCTGACATCATTAAAACAGAATGCCAGTGCTCTGGCATTTACTGCCTGTATTCCATTTTGGAGACCAGCACAACTTACCTTGTAAAGTTGACAAATGGAATTCAGAAGTTGGTGTGACTAAATAAAGAAAAATTGAAAGATGTATTACAATGAGAGAGCATCTTGCATATGTTGTTTATCAGAGATTCACCAGAGGAGCTGTAGGCTAAAGCAGCAAGTTCCAAAACATAGAAGAGTATAAAGTAATCCATAAATTTCATCTACAATGAAAACAGAATTATAAACAAAAGTGGCCCAGGTTAAGAAGTTCAAGAGACCAATGGTGCCAGCTGGAAACCTCTATATGAGGATCAATAGTGTGCTCTGTTTTAATTTATATTGTTTTAAATTGTTTTATATGTTTGAAATTTTTGATATGCTTCTGATACTGTGTTGTTGTGATCCACCCTGAGCCCGCTTGCGGGGAGGGCAGAATATAAATTTCAATAATAAATAAATAAAGATGGCCAAATGGCAACTGGGCCTCCAGAGGTACCTTTTACATGGCCCTTGGCAGCCCTACCAAATTTTAATCAATATAAAACATTGGAATTAACCAGGCCTATCCACTGAAAACAGTGATTTAAGCTGATGTGTGGTACGCATTGTGTGGAAATGCTCTATCATAAATCACAGAACAAAGGGCTGTAAATAAGAAGGATCTGCAAGACTTCATCACCACTGGAAGGAAGGAAGGAAGGAAGGAAGGAAGGAAGGAAGGAAGGAAGGAAGGAAGGAATCCTACTACTCCACTGAACAAATTCTGATGCCTTCCTCCTGCTTAAGTTGCTACTCCCCCAGAGGAAGGCTCCAAACTTTGCTGAGAAAAGTAATAGGATGCATCCCAGTGTCTTCATGGCTGCTTTGCTTTTGGTGCCTATGCTAAATAAGAAAAATAACTACTGAATAACAATTGAGAGAAAGAGAGAAAGATCAGATATTCACTATATTTCAGAATGTAGTCTAGGATCTAACATTCTGCCCCAAATAAATAAATATTAGCTGATATTAAATAACACACTGCCTTTCTCACTGGAGAAAGGTGAAGTACAAAATATAGAAACAATTCAGACAACATAACGTATTCAATAAACAATGCTATGGGACTTGGATTTCAGAATTGGTTTAACAGTGTATATAGAAAGAAGAGACAATGGATCATTTTGCTGATTCTAGATCACTTGTGAGGGTAACTCACTACTTTGGTGAAACTGAACAAATGACTAGAAAATTATTACAAGCATATGGTGAGGTCAGACAAACCATATCAAAAGAAAATATGCTTTATATACAGTTTAAATTGTTCTAATGTGTTTATGCTGCTTGAAGAGCAGTTAATCCCTAATTTCAGACTGCTTTAGTCCCACCTGGCATTATCCAATATACCAACCTACCACTAACACCATGATTAAAAGGACAAACCTACCAAGATGATTTAAATGCTCTTCTTGTTCAGAGCAATAAGCTAAATGAAAATGGATGCCTACCCTTAAATTAGGAGTTTTCATGATAAAAGGTATTTCCGTGCTAATTTCTGAATCCTTGTTCATGTTTCATAGGCATGTTCACTAAGGGGTCCACAAATCTCTGGCTTCACGTACAAGAAACCTTTATAGGAAGGTATGTAGTTTGTTTCTTATATTTTTATCCCACTTTTCAGCTAAAAATTACCTTGGAAATCAGGAATTAAAATCCAGTACATATGTATTAAACTTTGTCATTTGTTGAGATTTTTTATATATGGTACTGGCGGTGGAAAGTGCTGCCGAGTCTCAGCCAACATATAGCGACCCTGTAGGGTGTTCAAGGAAAGAAATGAACAGAGGTGGTTTGCCATTGCTTGCTTCTGCGTAGCAACCCTGGTGGGTTTCCTATCCAAGAACTAACCAAGGTCGACCCTGGTTGACTTCCACGGTGTGACAAGGTCAGGCTAGCCTGGACCATCCAGTTCAGGGCACATGTGGTCCTGCAAGGCCATTCTATTTGCCAGGGCTTTAGGGCGTATAGACTGCCTGCATCCTTTAGGGGTAGGGGAACTGTTTGGGGGTTATTACATTTTGTTTGTTTTATATCTGGAGCTGTCAGCAGCTTTGAGCTCTAAAAATGGCAGGATTTAATTTTTAATAAACAATTAGCCTCAAATTCTAGATCACTTTTAAAATGAACAAAATAACAGCAACCCTTAATGCAGGGGGCAAAAAATAGCCCACTTTTAAAATGAACAAAATAACAGCAAAACCCTAATGCAGGGAGCAAAAAAAATTAGACATTAGCCTCACTCTCCAAATGCTTGCTAAAAACAAAACCGTTTTTACTAATTCCTAAAGAAGCTGTACAGAACTGCCATTGAAACTTAATGACTGCTATGACAGGCTGCACTTTTAAAAGCCTAGAAGTGCTGTGTAAACAGATAAAGGACTGTGAAGGGTTAATTCAAGAGAGTACTCCATCTTTCTTGACACAGAGAGTACTCCATCTTTTTGTGTTATACCTCTGAGGATGCCAGTCACAGCTACTGGCGAAACGTCAGGTCCTACAATGCCAAGACCACAGCCATACAACCTAGAAAATCTACAACAGCTAATGAACTCTGGCCGTGAAAGCCTTCAACAAGAATCCCCCCCCCCTTTTCTCTCATTTCAGCTGCTCATATTATGTGGATTTTTTATGGCACTGTGTTTTGTATGACTGGAATGTTTTCTTTCTACTCTACTGTATGCTGTTTTTAATCTCATGTTATTTTGCTTTTACATTTTTTAGATCTGCTATTAAATCTATTTTAATGTCATCATTTTATGGTTTTAATTTCATGCTGTAAGTTGCCTTCAGCAGAAAGGTGGTACATAAATTCCCTAAATAAGTAGGGAAGTCTGCTTCCTCGTGAAAGTGTAAGGCTTTCAGGGTTAGAATCACCACTTGGAATGGAGCCCAGAAATAAACTGGGAGCCAGTAGAACAACGTTATGTGCTTCTACTAAGTAGGGCAATACAATTTTTCCTAACTGTTGTATTCACGTAGTAATCAAAAGCAGCCCCATATACAATTCATCACAATAATCCAAACTTGAGGTTACCAAAGTACATATTACAGAGGCTGGGACATTTTTCTCCATGAGGGTTCATATCTGATGCACCACTCTAAGCTGGTATTGCTCATAGATGGCACCTAAGAATCTAGAAGGGATGCTGGGCCTAGAATTATTCCCAAGGTATGTGATAGGTCCTTCAAGAGGAGTCAGTTTTCATTCAACAACAAACATCCTGAGATAAAAGAACAAAGTTTGAGTCCAGTGGCACCTTTAAAACCAACAAAGTTTGATTCTGGGTATAAGCTTTCATGTTGATCTTAAAGGTGCCACTGGACTCAAACTTTGTTCTGCTGCTTCAGACCCAACTGAATCTGTCCTGAGATAAAGTATGTGACAGACTTATATCAAGCTGTATAATGCAGAAGGTTCTTCTGCATATCCAGATACAGTACAGCATCCACTTCAGGTGCAGGTTTGATGAAAGACAAATGTGTAGGTCTTACCTTGGCTGACATCCATCGCATATAATTCTCTGAGTCCAAAGTCATTCAGCGACTTTTCCAAGTCAAGAGTGTCCTGAGATTGATAACTTTTCAGCAACATGGTATGTAAAGGATCAAAGTCACATTTGCTACAGATGACTGGCAAGAGCTCTTGAAGTGGTGCATGAGGACTAACTCTGACAACAGTCTTCTGGGTCTTCTTGTAATTAATTACTACTCTCACAGTTTGCTGACAGAAAAGAAAAACAATTTGGTAACTACTATTCAAAATTACAGCTTTCAATTATTATTTTAACCCATCAGGTATGGTAGCTATGGATACTGAATAATTTCTGCAGTACTCATTAGGGTAAGAAGTGCTCCAAAAGTCTTATTTATTTCTCATATCCTCACAGCACGAGACTCTTAGTTTAGGTCACCAATTAATCTTCATTACTCAGTGAGGATAACAAAACGGGCTTCCCATGTTAAAACATTCTGTCCCAATGGTATACTAAAATGGCTTCATTAAACAGTGAAATCATTCTAGTAGCTTTCTATTCTTTTATTTCTTCTTCGCAGGTCTAGAAGCACAAGAAAGAGACCTGAGCATGAGATGAAAGCAAGGATATATTGCTCCTACTTAATAAAAGACCTCCAGTATCTCACCTTAGAACAGTTCTTTATAATATTTTATACTTATATTGTTTATGATTTTACCTATATTTGTTTCAGCTGTGTGATATGCCATGTAAGCCGCCCTGAGCCTGCTATTGCAGGGAGGGCGGGGGGTAGAAATTAAATAAATTAAAAATATTCATCTTTCTTAGGCAACAAGGATTAAAGCAACTAATTTTGTCATGGACGTGTCTAAGCAGTAATCATACTTTGAGCACCAACAGGATAACAAAGAGACTCTGTCCAAGGCTAATCCCATGCCTAATACCAAGCTTTCAAATGCAAATTTACAAACGCATTTACAAATAAGTCAGTGTTGTATCCTGGTTAGAGTACTGGACTAGGACCCAGGTTCAGAATCCCTACCCAGCCACAAACGTTGTTGGGTGACCTTGGGCAAGGCACAGGATTGTTGTGAGGAGGAGAGACTGGCATACATGGCCCTGAGGACTTTGGAGGTAGGGCACGATAAAAGTTACTCTATAAATAAATGTAAATAACTAAATTTAAACATTGGCTAACTCCAGTACCCTGACCTGTATGGCCCAGGCTAGCCTGATTTCGTCAGATCTTGGAAGCTAAGCAGGGTTGGTCCTGGTTAGTATTTGGATGGGAGACCACCAAGGAATACCAAAGTTGCTAGGCAGAAGCAGGGAATGGCAAACCACCTCTGAAACATCTCTTGCCTTGAAAGCCTAAGTTAGTTGTGACTTGATAACAAAACAAAAACCAAAGAGCCTTTGGGGTAACTGTAATTAATAGGGTTGCCACTTACATGGTTTCGGCAGAGGAACTTCCCAGCAAACCTCCCTATCCCCTGCCATCACTCAATGGAGCAGCAGGGGTGAAATGGGGGGTGGGGAATGACATCTATTCTATTAATGCCTGGATGTCACCATTTTGGAACAGGAAGTGACATCATGACATACAGGGATTTTCAAACATATCCATGGTAAAACCATGTTTTTTTGAAATTCCTAGAGATTCCTTGGTAAACCCATGGTTCTCAAATTCCTAGAGAGTCTACACCCACCAATGCTCTTGGGGACTGCCGGCCAAAGAATGGCAATCCCCATAAATTGCACTCTTCAAAGTGTAGTATCCGAGTAGTTCCTTCTCTCTTGAAAATGCTATCTGATATGGCCCAGGCTTGGAACAGCCTCCTAGGAAGGTACCTACTCTTGGGGCCTTCTGGTGATGCTATAAAACAGAGCTATTTGGGACAGTTTAAGATGCAGTTTGAAGGTTATAGATCAGGGTTGCTAAGCCCCTGCTAGGCAGATAGTGTGATGTCACTTCAGGGGAAAACCCAGAAGTGATGTCAGTCCACTCTAGGAATCACTGGAAACTATGGTTTTACCATCAAATTTCTGGCAATTCCTAGAAAAGTGCGACATCCAGGTTTCCCCAGGAACTGATACCATGCTATTGTTGCCCCCCCCCCCATGTCCCTACTCCCCGATCTCCTGCTGGTTCCCAGGCTATGTCTAGCAACTGTGTTATAGATATGGGCTCCAGTTTATCTCTTTTTAATGGTGTACCTTTTTTATTTTAAGAAATTTTATTAACACAAAAACAGAAATACAATACAAGAAAAAGTCACTGAACTGAGGTGTATAACAAACATTCATAATAACTGGGACTCTACTCCAAGGTTTAATAATACAGCCAGAAGAAGCAAGCAAAAGAAGGACAGACTAAAGAACAATATTTCTCAAAATGGTTCCACGAGTGTTATATCCAATACTGCAATTAAGACCATTCATGTGGGATGAATTGTTGACAAGATAAAAATTCAAGTGGTGGGGACCATTTTTCATCAAAATTGGATTTGCTAGGGAATAATATTGTTCTGTTAATTTTATCAGTTAATTTTATCAGTTTTCTACTGCTGTACCTTAATGATTTTTAACAGATGATCAGGGGTCATTTCCTGCAGAAGCACACAGAAGCGGAGCTCCAGCGGTAAAGAGCCCAGGGGGCAGGCACATGCAACAAGCCCCGCCCCCTGCTCCCAGCAGCCCCGGGCCACAAGGAGCAAGAAGCAGCCAGGTAAGTTGAAGAGCCCCCCAGCCAGATAGCAATCAAAAGGAGTCCAGTGGCACCTTTAAGGCCAAGGTTTATTCAGGTACAAGCTCTCCCTCCTCTGTGAGGGCAGATCTGTGTATCCCCTCCCCATAGCTAGCAATCCAAAAGAGTCCAGTGGAGCCTGAGCGATGGGTGTTGCCTTCTGACACACTTCCGGTGATGTCAGGGGTTGTGGCATATGCAAATAAGTTATGCTAATGAGTTATGCTAATGAGCTCCTGTGCCTCTTTTTCTACGAAATGACCCCTGCAGATGATGATTTTTATACATAGTTGTAACATGCCACAGGTCCTGACAGTATTGGAGGACTGTGCAGTGTTCCCTTGCACAGAGCACACCAACGCTTCATGGGTGTAGTGAAGCTAGCAAGGCTAGATGTCACTTCTTGTAACACTCCATTGGTCTGCTCTGTTGCTGTCCCTTTTCCCCACCAGAATGCAACTCTCAAGGGTTCTTTCTTTCCTGCTAATTCCTTCACATCCCACTTCTTTCTCTATCTGCCATGAAGGCAAGATAGGCTCTCTGCAATCTTTCTCAATTCTAGCTTAGTTAGAACCTTCTTTCTCTAGCTTTCCTATTCAGTATGGAGTTTCTCCACAATAAAGGACTTCTCTTTCTTTCCTAAAGCAAGAAGCCTTCATCTTCCTTCCGCAGCTCAAACCAAACTCTAAGCTAACAGCTGGGGAAACAAATGGTATATAAATACCCTAAATAAAAACTATACAAATTGAGTTTTGACATCTATTCAGGGGGTAAAGACTAAAGTCTTCAGCTTTCTCACCTCTGGAATGATAGGAGTGGGCTTCTTCTTATCCATCTGTTTTGGCTTTAGAATCACTTTGTCTACTTCAAGCATTCCAATGGGTGTGTTTGGCTGGAATTTGATCTGCTTTTTCTCCGCTGACATCAAGTCTATAGTATGGCTTGAAGGATTTAAACGGTACTGTGCACAAAGGTATACCAGTAAATCCATCATTGGTTTGCTGGGGGAGAAAAAGTGAAAGTGGCTACAGCACAATACAACGTAAATGTGAAAATGTAGTTGCAATTTCATTTATCCATTTGCATTTTGAAATCCAGTTCAATAGTCAATAATGATTCAAAAGTGCCTATACAGCTTCACAGTGCCATCCTGAACAGAGTTACAGCTTTCTACACTCACTGACTTCAATGGATTTAGAAGAGTGTAACTAGGATTGTACTGCAAGTCACACTTCTGTTTATAGCAACCATATTTGAGTAATTCTCAGACTGAGTGGAAGCCAACTGCTTTAAAATGATGCTACAAGTTATAGAAAAGGTCAAACAACAACAATAAAAAAGCAGAATCCAGAAATTCATATGTATAAATTACTCTGATTAAACATTTGGAAGATGACAGTCAATAGTAATCTTTGACTACCTTGCAAAAAAACCCACCTTTGTTAGTTCACAACATAAAATATAATAAAACTACCCACTTGTTTTGTTTCCCTCCTACTTTGTTTTGTTTATTCCCCATATAAGCTATGTTACTGAGTGGCATGACAAAGAATAGAAACATTTCTTACACTTACTCCCTTGTATTATGCCTGGAGACACAGAACTTAACATGGAGATGTGTGGTCTTTACCATATATCCTAATGTGTGTATTTCGTAGCTTTGGAGGAAATGTGGAAATCTGGCCAGTGGAAGTCCAGCAAGCGACACTTCCACTCAGTGGAAGCCAACTATGTTTCTACTCAACGTCACTGACCCCACCACGCTGCTCAGCAAAACTTGAAGGTTTTTCCCCAGACTAAGAGGGCCTCTTTTGCCTGTGAAGAGCCACTTCGGTTGGAAGAAGACTTCCAACTTTGCTGAGCAGCATAATAGGATGCAGGCCATTCAACATAAAGTCACATTTGCAAGACGTTGTGCCAAGGGACTGGCAATTTTCTAAACAGACAAAAATGAAAGTCCTTTTTTATAAAAAATCTTGACATTGTCCATAAAGCATGCTATTATTATTATTTTTTTTAAATCAGGACATCTTAAATACCGATCACTCTTACTGTCTGATCTTCCACTCTTGCTGGTCAATGTAAAAGGATTAGGCTTTAGTTTCCTAGAAGGAGTAAATCCCTTCTGTCATCACTGAAGCTTAGTCCAGCTTCCCTCACGTAAGCAGAACCTCCGATCAGTATTTGCTGATTTTGGGTTAGGCAAAGTTCTTCCATGGTACGAGTGCCACTCGCCAAGGCCTTTCAGAGATAGGCCTCACATGCTGGGAGCTGCAGCGACTCTTTGTACCCATGTAGAATCACAAGGTAGCTGATGCTCTGATGCTTGCGCCACAGAAGTCCAAGCTCCAGATATGGGCATGTGTGATGCTCAGTTGTAGTTGCATCTTGCTCTTTAAAACTTTATTACTGTTGAGAAAGATAATAACTCTACCTGCTGGTTAATTTGACAAACTGTTAACAGGTGATGTTTGTCAAGGATAAAGCCTTTGCATATTGGCTGGAAAAGGTCATGTTTATTAAATCGTTAACTCATTAGTGGGGAGATAAGGGATAAAACTGGTAGGTAGAAGACTGGGTTTTTTTAATCTTGATCTCTCTCTACAATGGAAGATTCACCCACGGCTGAACCAGACTACCAGGGGGAGAAATTGATGAGAGGCCGGCAAGATTGAAAGTTTTACTTCCCTCCTGTCTAAGACATTCTCTGGATCAAGAACCTGCTTTTAAAGACAAAGGGAGATAGTTCAAGTGGCTGGGTTCTTTTTTTAAGTTTTCTGTTTTGGACTCTTGCAAATACTGGTATTTGTTCTTTTGTAAAATAAATTGTCTTTCTTTTGAAGATGGTGGTTGTTAAATGTGCATTTGGTATCTGATAAAGAAAGAGCCCAGGGCACCTCTAGGTTGGGTCACAGGGTGCATCATAGCATGTCACAAATCAGATTAAACAAAGGCATATTAGCTTAGACAATTTCTGTACTATAAGGTCCTACACATTTACCGTACATAGGTAAGTAGGGAGTTTATTACTGCTTTCAATGGTGCAGCACTAAAAACAATTAAGCAAACATGTTAGCATTAAGACTCTCTTTACACAGAGAATTCAGAATTTCAGATATTTTTGTTCCCTCTATAAACTAAAAGTATCTCTGCCACAGGTCTCTCCCTCTCTCATATGTATATGGCCTTTACGATACAACGAACATGAAATTGAGCAAACTTCAGAGGACAGCGGAAGACAGGAGGGCCTGGCGGGAGCTGGTCCATGGGGTCGCGAAGAGTCGGACTCGACTGTGCGACTGAACAACAACAACAAAGGTGCCAGGTAAAATGTATATTTTTACTCAGGCTTTTAATTAGGGGTTTTATCTATACCACTTTTTAATGGTCTGACGTTAGTCTTAAGGAAAGTTTATTCATTTATTTTTAATTAAGATTTATAGACCACCCTACCCCTGTGTACACACAGCTTAACAACATAATGATAAAACATTCATAAATAATAGAACAATTTAAATAGTAATATATAAATAAAAACATTCTCAGACGGCGTTTAGCACATCTATATATCTAATAGCCAAACTCTGTTCTCTATGCGGATACTTATTTCCGCCAACAGAGGGCTCACTCTCGCCAACAGCTTTTTCTACAGACTCAGGGGACTTCGTAGGTCTACAGACAAATCCAAAAAGTAAAAAAAAAACCTTCAGGGACAGTTGAATTCCCCCCAATACCTTTTGAAATGGCCTCCACAGGAATCTAACTCCAGGCAACAACAGCAAGAGATTAGAACGTTCGGGTGGGAGGCTTGTAACTGGCTCTGTCAGTAAAAGGCAGGGGGAGGGCCCTTTCCAGGCCTATGTTGGCATTTGAGGGAGGAAGCCTTGGGGCCAGGCCTGACAAGGGTTGTCAGTACCAAGCTGGGAAACTCCTAGAGATTTTGTGGTGAACTCTAAGGAGGGCTGAGATTGGGTAAAGGAGAGGGCTCAGCTGTGTATAATGCCATAGAGTCCACCCTTCAAAGCAGCCATTTTCTTCAGGGAGACAGATCTCTGCTGTCTAGAGTTCAGTTGTAATTCTGGGGGGTCTCCACGTCCCACTTAGAGGCTGGCAATCCTAAGGCTGGCAGCAGTCTAGGGTTGCCAGGTCCCCCCCGGCCACTGGCAGGGGATTGGGGGGGGGGTAAGGTTGCCAGATTCAGGCTGGGAAACTCCTGGCAATTTGGGGGTAGACTGTGGGGAGGACAGGGACCTCAGTGAGGTACAATGTCATAGAGTTCACCCTCCAAAGTATCCATCTTCTCCATGGGAAGTTATATCTGTAGTCTGGAGATAAGCAGTAATTCCAGGGGATCCCCAGGTCACACCTGGAGGCTGGCATCCCTAGGCAGCACCCTCTCGGTGACCAGATACCACCTGATTTGCATGACTGAACTAGGTCCCGCTGCTTGCTACTGTTCATCAGCAGCCACCCTGTGAAAGTCAGTGTGGTACAGCAGTTAAGAGCTTCAAAGTAGGGCCTTTAAGACCCAAGTTCAAATCCACATCTTGTGGTGGAAGCTGACTGGGTGATTTTGGACCAGTCACATACTTTCAGCCTAACCAACCTCACAGGACTGTTGTGCATACAAAAAGGAGGAGAGAATAATGTAAGCTGCTTTGGTCCCCATTGTGGAAAAAGACTGTAATTTTTCTAGGCAGAGGCTGTGGGGGAGGTGGTGGAGACAGAAAACTGAAAGCGGAGAGGCAGACAAAGGTACATTGGCTGTTGGGTGGGAAGGAAACAGGGTTGTCAACTGCAGGTTGGGAAATTGGGACATTTGAGGAGTGGAACCTGGGGAGAGTGGGGTTTGAGGGGGGAGGAACTTCAGACTGGTGTCCAACCAGCCATTTCCTCCATGAGAACTACCATTGCCAGCCTCCCGGGGAGGGCTGGAGATTACCCAGAATTACATCCAGGTGTCAGAGATAATTTCCTTCCATGAGAACTACCATTGCCAGCCTCCCGGGGAGGGCTGGAGATTACCCAGAATTACAACTGTTATCCAGGTGTCAGAGATAATTTCCACTAGATAAGATGGCTGCTTTGGAGGGTTGAGTTTATGGCATTATACCCTGCTGAGGCTGCTTGCCTCTCCAAACCTCTCTGTTCCAAAGCTCCACCCCCAAATATCCAGGAATTTCCCAATCTGGAGCTGGGAGCCCTATGGTGAATTGATCTCAGTAGCTGGGAGATCAGTTGTGATTCCCGGAGTGCTGCCACTGCTGCTGTGGAGGGAGAGGAAGCAGCTGGGGGGCTGGGAGCACCACCACCACCACTGCTGCTGCTGTGTGGGGTGGTGGAGGAAGCAGGCAGGAGGCTGGGAGAGTGATGGGGGCAGAAAGAGAGATTGATGGGGTGGGGGACAGAAAGAGAGAGAAAGAATGATGAGGTAGGGAGGCAGAAGAACAAAGAGAATGATGATGGGTCAGAAAGAGATGATGTAACATGCACAGACAGAAGGGAGAAAGAGGGTGAGAGAGGTAGGGGGAGAGGGGAGGAAGCAAAGTGTGAGGAATGGAATAACCATCCCACAAGTTTTTTGCAGGTCTCCACTTATCAGATTCTAATTCTGTCCTATCATTCTAATTCTAATTCTAATTCTGTCCTTGACCCATAAGCAAATGGAGAAGAGGCAGGAAGAAACAAATAGGGAGGGGAGAAAAATATGGAGGGAGTGCCTGTAGGATGGTACCCATCGCTGTCCTCGGTTTTAAGCTCTTTGTGTCCATGGGCTCAAGAAGTATTCTGAAGAGGCATGTGTGTGTGTATGTGTTGACAGGCATGTCCCAATGCATTACTACTTAACCATGGCAAGGTTCACATGCAATGACAAACATGGATTGTCAATGATAGGAGCCAGGCAATATGCCTGATGGCTTGCTGAGAAAAGATTTAACCAATGTGCACCACTGTTTGCAAACTCATTTCAAATAAGGCTTAACGGAATCAAACCTGGGTT